TAAATGCATATTATATACATATGTAAAGATGAGTCAATTGTATTTAAGTTTTCCACCCCAAATACTTATTTTGTGTGAACTTTTTGTGGCTTTAGATGCAGTTCCTTGGTGTGTTAGTGCTTTTATTACTGCATCTGGCCCTATGCAAGGCTTCAAAATAATTTCAGAAATGTAAATGAGTCTTTTGTTAGAACCTGGAATAGAAAATTTCCCTATGGGCTAAATGATTTACTTTTTTTTTTTTAGGTACTGCTATACAATTTTAACTGTAACTCTATGTAGTAGAACTTTTGGCATTATTCCAATTTCCTCTAACAACAGCATCAAATATTTTTTCAATTGGAAATTGCTCAGAATCGTGATGATTTCTCTTAGTCTGTCTGAAAGGAGACAAAAGGCTTATTTTGCATAGGGCACAAAACAGATGTTGATAATGTTTGGTTACCACCAGTCTTGTCTGGACTTCAAACAGATGACCTGGAAGTGAGAGGTCTTACATCTCATTAATAATAATACAAGCTGTCAAATCCCCATGACCCAGTGTGTTCCTTAGCACAGGGCAGTAAGTCAATACACTCAGCACACTACCAAGAAGTCTGGATAGAGGGCTTATCACATTAAGTCCTCAAGCCAATGTGGACTAGCTACCCATACTGGCTTGGATGGAAGATCAGCTCTTGTTTAGCAGTAGTAATGCTGCCTTCTAGAAATATTTCTACACTGAAGTTCAGGGTTGCTAAAAGTCAGGGCAGTACTGGGGTGCTGCTTCTCACTCAAACATTCCTGGCACATTTGCATTGTGGGGGGGTTTCTCTTCCACCTAGAGACAGATGTCTAAGAAGAAGGGAAGATTCTGTAGTGAAGGTTAAGATATGTTACGACTAAGATGCATTAAAAGCAGTTAGTGGCTTTCCTTGGGTTTATTTGGATGAGTTGCTCAATCTCCTTGTATAATGGAGCGAATAATATGTATTTATTCTTGCAAGACTGTTGTGAGGCTGTATTTCACCATGGCTTATGAGGAAGTCAGATTCTGAGCTGACTGAGCCCATGCAAGTAACCAGACAGATGCCTGCCAAAGCCTTTTGTCTTTCTAAAATAACCCAAAGCCTCATATCCTCCTACCTTTATTTCCTTTTTTCTTTCTAGAAACTACTCTTTCGAGAGTAGCAAAACACTTTGTCAGGGATACTTTGCTTAGCTGGGGCCTATTTGCTGTTGCCACCAGCCATATGACGAAATAGATGAAATGTGCTCCGGTTACAGAACATGTATCTTTCAAAAATGTCATTAAGGCTAAATTCTGCTCTCGGATGCGCTCAAACAATTCTCAGCAAGTCAACTGCAACTTCACAACAAAGAGAAGAGAACGTATTTCTGAAATGTAAAATTCATAAAACCTGAGTGGTTCAACATTTATTCTGTTTGTTTTTTTTTTTTAATGACCTATTTCAGTGCAAGATCAGTGCTTTAAAAAAAAAAAGGTTGGGGGAAGAATATTAATTATCTATTAAAACATATTTCCCTTTGAGGATGCTAGCTTATGATATTAGAATACTTCCACATATTTTTCATTTTGAAAAAATCACCTACTAAGCAGAAGACAAACTGTTAGCAAATTGGCATTCTCAGGCTCTTAAGAGAAAAGGTAAGTATTTAAGAGCCCTACTGCAGCATTAGAAAATCGAAAAGGAAAAGAAAAGGAGAAGAGTTAGTAATATCAACTCACTACAGTGGATTTGATTGTATTACCCACAGGTTCACAATATATTAGAAAACTGTTAAAATTGACTGGGATATCTCAATCATTAGTTCTAACAGAGATGTGACTTGCCTCTTGAAGTGAACAGTCTGGGAAGAAAAGGAGCTAAAACTGAAACAGAAAAATGTAAAATATTTTAATAAGTAAATGCTAAAACAAGAACAACATCTTTTGATAACTCATACTGTAGGACAGTTAAAACACTGCTTTAGTCAAAAATCTGGACGCAAACTTAGAAGTCATAATTCTAAGACCATAATAACACGGAATCTGATTTTTATATTTTATTAAAATGTTACTTAATATAGTGAAATCTGACCAACTGCCATTGCAACATATGGAATACTATTATTATATAATAAAAATATTCAGACTATAATTGTTTAAAAATTCTCCATCCCATATGTAATTTATCAAAGTGAACTTTACATCGATTTGTGCCACATGGTTGATGACAAACTATAAAGAGTCTCTGGAACAAAAGGTATGTACAGATAACTTTGTATGAACAGTCTCAATCTGTTTCAAACTTTCCTTTTTTTTAGTTTTAACTTCACAAATTGAAATACTGTAATATTTATATTCTCTTAGTTAAAAGTCTTTTAAAACCTAAGGTCTCGTCTTTTTAAAAAGTGCTTTAGTTTCACGGAATAAACAACGTTAAATTGTTTTAGTTAAATGTGGACAATCTTAAATCAATTTAAACCTGGTTTATAATGATTTTGTTTAATTCCTATCCCTTACTGAGACAATCCAAATCGTTGTAAACCAGGTTTAAATTGATTTAAGCTTTAAAGTTAAATTGGAGGCATATCTGAATATAGAAATTCCTATGTATCATTCCACTCTGAACAGTAACTAGATATAAATGATGCTGTGATATACCATAACTTGATATATCTCAAAGATTTCCAGATCACATACACTGAATCTACATAACTTTAAAATTAGACAAGAATGGACAGTGTGGCTTTATTGGGACCTGCTCTTCAGAGCTGTCAGAGGTTGTTCTAACCTTGGGCATAAAACCCACCTTCCTTGCCTACTGCTTTTCTCGATTTCATTTACTGGACTCAAGTTTCAGAGTCACATTGTATAAACTGAAAACCGTGGAAAGCAGTGGCAGCATTATATGCAAAATCATGCAAATTCATGAGGCAAAACAGAGGGTATGGAGGGACTCAGTTTTTTTTCACTGATTGGTAAAATTTACAGAAGACACATATGATACTGTGTGTGACCATTAACTCTCAAAATCATTTCAGCTCCAAAAATGAGCAAGAGTCAAGTAGCAAAGGCTGCAGTTAATCTGATAGTAAGAATGAGGTAGTGGAACGTGGGTTCTTTTTGAGAAGTTCACAGTTTTTGGTACACATATAGCAGCATTACCACATCACCTCACCACACTTGGAGGTGCCTTGCTTGCCCTGTTAGTGTTGATAAGGAACACAAAGGCTGATTTCTGACACTGTTAGGACAGATGTCCCGTCAATATTTCAGAAGTTAATTTGTTCCAATTTCTATAATTTCTAACACTGACAATATCTCCCAATTTCTACAAACTGTAAAAGGAAAGGACTAGAATTACTGTGCCATGTTCTGAAGGAGCAGGGGTTGTCATATATGTAGTGATCTCTAGTAAAAGGGTATATTGCACATAAATACTTAAGGATGCATTGAAATACCAGTTTTTTGCAGAGGGGTGTAGCTATAGGGATTGTATTGCATCAGTGTGTTTGAACAAAATGGCAGTGTTGGGGCATACGTAAGAACTTCATAGCTCACTGAGATTTGCCAGACTGGGCAAGAATTTTTCACGTCCACTTTGCAGTTCTAATCAATATTTCAATGTAATTGCATATTGCAGCCTTTAAACCATAGCAACTGTATGCATATTTAGTTGGAAGCACTTTTCTTAGATATAAGAGCTTAGCCAAAGCAGTGTCAAGTTTTCCTTCTAAAGGAGGAAGGGACACTGATCAAATTATCCCACTAATGGTCCTGCTTGACGCATTCTTTTATTGACTTAAGACAACAGTGTCTCAGCAATGGTTAGCTGCAGACTGAGAAAGCAAGCAGATTGACATATTAGCTGTGATAATCATATACCGAAGGTTGCTCCCAAATAAAAGCATTTACTTCCCCCCCTAGCTCTGCTCTAGTTTCAAAGTATGAGACTAAATTTCATGTAGGCATTTTTGCTTTTGTTTGGTTGGTTGGTTTGTTTTGTTTTTACCATCTATTTATAATCTTCTCTTTGCTACACATTTCCACTTTGTCATCAGAGGAAAGTGCAGGAGCAAAGGTAGCTATTCTAGAAATTCAATTATGCAGAAAAAAACCCTGAGACATCATAAAACTTCCCCTTAGTGGAGTAATTTAATAAAGTTATTTTAAAAATATAAAAATTTCATACTGCATTTCACAGTCCTTACATTTTTATCTCATCTGAGAGGAGAGTGCATTTTCAACTTTCAACATGCCTTTCTTTCCAGACTACGTCCCCAGGAAAGGTACTATTGCAGACAGAACTGTAACAGAACCTGCTAGAAAATGGGTAAAACTGTGACCTCACTGCATACCTTGACACAGGGAGAAAGGACCAAAAGGGATCTCTCATGTACGTTTTTACAGAGGATTAATTCCCAGCTCATCTGCTAGCTAACGAAGTTCATAGCTTGGTTACAGTTTCATTCCTTCTTAGACCCCGTTTACAACAGGCAACTTTTTCCCTCACTGTGACAGATGGGTTGAGATACTGTAGATCCCCCTTAACTCCATCAGTGAGAGAAGTGGGTGCCAACAGGAGCGCAGGTGTCTCTCCACAAGCTGCGTGGCACTTGCGATCAGGTCATGAACGCGCACAACCACACTCTGACTCACAAACCCCTAAGTTACGGAATTAGTCCGCATTTCCATTTTAACCATAAAAAAGAGACGTTCCCACAGTGGTTTTACAGAATTCTCAACAAGTCACAGGCAGCAATAAAAGCACTTGAGGTATTGCTATTTCTCGCATCTCTGCTGAAAGACTGTGTGACGGGCACATGCTTTGTAATCGGTTCCCCTAGTTCACAGAAGTAGGACATCATATTAAATCTAAAAGACAAAGAATCTGTTTGTACTGTAATTGTATACTTAGCTCTCAATATTAAGACACTAACCACAAAGGTTAAGAACTAACAAGTTTAAAAGAGCCTTTTGGTCATATCTTAATTGTAATGAAAAACATAATTACCTGCAAGGTTGTCAATCTCTTTCTCTTGGAGCAGGCTAACAGCATCATCATCTCCTTCCAGCATAAGCTCTGTTTCTGCATTCTGATTTACCACAGCTTGACTTCGGAAAGTTTTCTTTGACTTCACTACATCCTCTTCGGTGCCTAAAAAAAAGTTACAAATGTTGTGAATTTAGCTGAATAATATTTTAAATATAAAATAACCACAGTTAAGTAGTAAAAAAAATACAGTATAAATCAACTTTATCGAAAAAGGGAAGGAACATTTTCAAAAAATTTATCAACGTTTACAAAATATGCAGCCTTATTCTGTCTTTCAGAATATCCCTCGAATAAAATACAAACTGTTTCACAAAGACTCTCCTGCTTTTAATAATTGCTATTTGCTTTATGTTCAATGTTGTTCCATTAGTTTTCCACCTGCAAGAAATTCAGCTGGAGTTTCTCTTGGGTTCCTGGTGTCCTGACTCTGACTGACCTCTGAGAGCTCAAACCACCTAGTCTAAATAAAGGAGTTGGTTTTGGGAATTCAAAATCTGTCATGATTTTTATCTTAGAGATAGGAGGGACAGGATGGTGAAGTAGGAGATGGGTTATCTCAATAGAGAGTAACAACAAGGTAGGCTATGCAGAGATTCAGAAAAGACAAAAAAAGGACAAGCACGGTGAGGGAACTTTGGTGTGCGTCTGTGTGTGTGTTTTTAAGGAGCACAACAAAAATGTTGGTGTATGGACATGTGCCAATTATCTCAAAGGACTTCACAGGAACGTCTTAGCCTTTCTTCTTGCCTACAACTGACTTTTTTCTATTCAGACTGATGGTTCCTTACGGCAGGAGATCTTACATCTTACATTTTGGGAAGGTCCTACTAGCGCTTGCCAGAATTTATTTGCATGAGGTAAGAAATTAATCATAGTGTGGTCAAATGATAGTAGCCTTCATATCATAAATAGCTTTCATGTACTGTTGTGACATCCTCATGGTGTTTCTTTCTTAGATGGGGAGAGGTCATTAGTTTTGTTTGCAGTACTACAGACTCATAGTAGCCTTAGGAGAGAAAGCTTTCTGTTTTTTTCCTAAACAGAAAACCCTGCCTCTTCACCTTGAACCCTACAAGATATGGGCATCTGCAGTTTTGCCAACCAAGAAATAAAACCCAGACTTAATATCTCCTTTCTGTATGATAATTTGAAGATCTGCTTACTACTAAGCTACAGAACAATGAGTGAAATCTGAGCAAAACCAGGCACGTGTGGATTTTGTTTGTCTTCCACAATGCCTGAACTTCACATGATGAATGCTGTTATGGCAGATGTAAAATCATGAGGTAAAGCTGCATATAAGACTCGTGGCCTCATATTAATACAGGACAACTAAAAGGAATATAGTAAGCAGATAGGTTAGTGAAGATAGATGCATGGAATGGAACTGATGTGTCAGGCAGTTTTGTTACTACAAACAGTGGGGAAAGTGTTATGATTTTATCTCCTACTCTTATATGAGTCTTTTAATTAGTTTGTGCACAGGAGAGTCAATCCATATAAATAAAAATGCTGGAGGCATTCTGTTAGTGTTTGAAGATCACTGTTAGCATGCCACTTGATATCGGACTCCACCACAGGCTGAGACAATCTCATGTTTTACATTGCCTAATATTAACCTTTTGTATACTATTGCTATTATCCCAATTGCTATTTCTGAAACTACAGAGCAGGTAAAGACAAACAAGTAAGCAAACCCCCATTTTTTTTCACCAAGCCCAAAATTAAGGACAGCATCTCTAATCTTCCTATTTGTTGCTCTCTCCATTAGGACCATACTGATACTGATAGCAATTAAGACAATACCGACGCCGATATATACTAATATACTGCGTTTTGCTGTGTTCAGTTATTAGGCTGTGATCACTACCTCACTTGCATAGGTTACTACTTAGTACAACTAACTGTAATTATTCACCCAATTTAAAATTGAATCAAGTAACTAACGGTTGAAAAAGTTTTCAGTATTATGTCCAAGCTTCTGGGTTTTTGTTTGGTTTGATGGTTTTGTTTGTTTGTTTGGGGTTTTTTTGGGGTTTTTTTTTTCCTTCCTAATTCACAAATAGGAGCAAGAATTGTAAAAGTTTGGAAACACACAAAGGAGTAATGTGCTGTAACAGACCTTCAGTTTTATTACATCAGAATTGTCCTGAGTATTTAAGCGGTAGATCAGGATCTTGCATGTTACACTTGTGTTTACTACAAGGGAGCTTAGCATCATTTGACAAAAGTAATAACTCCTGCTGTGAAGCATTTGACACTAAAGGAGACCAGGCCTGAGATGAACTAACACGGTGGAGGAAGGAAGCATGAAAATACTGTTCTCTTCCTTTTTGGTAGTTATAGTGAGTGTTACAAAAGTTTCTGAGCTTCGTAAAATGTGATAATCTTTAAATGAATAACTTCAAAAGTACTAATCTGGAGTAATCGTAGAGTCAACCATTTCTGTAGTAACTGATTAGATTAGTGACAGTTCTTTAAAACTATTTATGCATGAAGATATATTTTTAAAATTACAAGGAAAAAAAGTTCCGAGCCCCAAATTATTACTAACACTTAAAATGCATCAGAAGAACCTGAAATTTAGTGTATTTTAAATCTCCTGTGATTAGGGTTCCAGTTACCAGATTACAGAAATATTGCCATACACCGATGTAAGAAACATAGTAGAGTAGAAGGCATTAAATTAGTTTGGCAAATTTGGAGCTTAGCAGCAAGACAAATGTTTCTAAAATCCATTCTGGTTTATAATATTAAACATACATTTATCTAAAAGAAATATAGTAAATGACGCTTCTTTGTCTTGATGGAAAAAAGCTCTGGTTTGGCTGTTGTTTAAATTTATCACTTTGTTGAGTGCACCTCAGTTTTGCTGTACTGAGGTGTACATTTATCTAAATGAAAGTGTATGAGACCCAGAGTTGCCCTTCAATCACTATATCCTTTATGAATTAGAGTTCCATTTATCAAAATTACAGCAAGAAGAGTAAGGTCTCACAGGGCTGTCTCATTACAAGGCTTGTAAACACTGTCCTTACAAAGAAATGGTTTAACACCTAACAAATCAAAAACTGATTGGGAATAGAATTTATTTGAGATCATCTATCTTTGGAAGACGTGCTGTACTGAGTGCACTTTGTGGCCTTTCTACCCATTCATCAAGAAATTAACAAGCGAATACCACAGACCACCAGATCTCCTTGGATCCTGAAATGTGAAATATGTTCAAAACAGATCTGTCACAGATGTTCTATTTTTATATTTCAAGACAACTTCAAAAAGGTTTTAAAATAAGAGAACTTCTCCAAATAAAAGTAAAAAGAAAAACAACTTGTCTCTTTAAAACCAGACAACAAACTGAATAAAAAATTATATGACATAAAACTATGTCTAGTATTGTTAACAATGATATAAAAAGGAGACATGAATAAATGAATACTTGATATTTCAGCATGTTTGAAAAAAATCAAAACTCAAATTACTTTTTCAGAGCCCCAGCAAAATTACTATGAAATGAATTTCATTTCCAAATATTTCATTTAAAACTCTTTTTAGGACACAAGAAGTTTGTATTTTAAAGACACAATATGGAATTGTATTAATGTCAGTTCCTAAGTCTAATTAGAAAATGTTTCAAATCCATTAAAACAGGAAAAAAATAAAATGAAACTAGATATAATTTCAAGAAAGCAACATTTTGACATTGGCGTGCACAGAACTGGAACTGGCAGATGCTATCAGTTCTCGTCCTCAACAAGCTCCTTCTTAAGGGATATTTTTCTAGACTGGGATTTGGAAAGAAGCCTTGAAATAAGCAGCTAAGTATTTCTTAAAACTACATTTTGTAAAGAAGTTAAAGGAAATAAGTCACTCGGCTCACATTGAAGTCCAGCTGAAGTTGGTGCCTTAATTTCTTGAAACTTGAAGGCTCTGTCTTAAAGATATTTCAAGAGAATATAAGACTAGATAAGCTATTAAAAAAAAAAATCCATGTTTTATTACACCTGTTATCATCTCAATAATTTTTTTAAATGTGCATATTAAAAACTGGCTTTCTACAGTAGCTTCAGGATAACTGAAAAGAGCTCATCTTTAAAAGAAATTAAAGAAACCAACCACCACTCCTCTACAAAACCCCAAAAAAGAAACCACAACCACCCCTCTACAAACCCCCACCTTCCACTAAAAGGTGTGTATTTTATGTGTCTGAAAGGTTATATGAGCTGCACAGTAAACTTGTACAGTATTGCCAAAAATTTACTAATCTCTCTTCCAGTAGCATTACTTTCCCTTAAACAGAAATTATTAAGCAGACAAAAAAAACCCATACCAACCCCCCCACAGAACCCCAATAATTTCCCAAGAACAGGAGAATCTCATGTTATTTTGCAGCTACAGCCTCTAGAAGTATTTAATAAGAGAAATATTAAAAGAATTTGGGGGGGGGGTTTATTGTAACATCTGAATTTTTGCCTCTATTTTCAGTTAAATCAATAAATTCCTTGTTGGGTTCTATAGGTCACAAAAGGTTCTAGAGATGCAATCTAAATTTCAAAGATACTGTAAGTGTCCAAACCCACAAAACCATCCCTAAATAAAATTTTAAAATTAGCGACACAAACATAATATATTGTTGATTACATTTATGTCCATGTATGCTTATTTTATTAGACATTACACTAATTACTATGATTTAGTTGAACACAAGAAGGGAGTTTTCAGTTCTCTCTTCACTTCTATCCATTTATTATATATTCAAATATAGCATTTTAAATTTTTCTCTTTGTATCTAGTATAAAATGAGGTAAAAATATGTCTAATTTTAAGAAAAGTTTGCTTGGTCATACTGTAACCAACAAAAGGAGACTACTGCTTCTTATAAAGTTGTTTCCATAGTTTACTTCAACGAATTACCGATAAGGCAATTTATGCAGTGAGCGCTCTTTGATCTTTGAAGAGAGATGGCAGAATGGAAAGTTAACCTCATTTTAATGTTACCTAAATATACTGACAGGAAATTCTAATGTTTCCAAACATCTGGAAATCTGCTTCATGGGATGGTGTTCTTCTTTTCTATAAGAAAGCTTTTTCATATATTGTCT